TTTCCATTTTCTCAAATCCTCTTCAATCTTTTCTTCTAGAGTACCATAGTGTTCTCAGTATAAATCTTTTATTTCCTTTGTGAGATTGATTCCTAAGTATTTCATTTTTTTATATTATTGTGAAAAGTGTGGTTTCCCTAATTTCTCTCTCAGTGCATTTGTTTGTGTAAAAATGCTAATGATTTTGAGTGTTGACTTTGTATCCTTCTATGTTACTGAATTTGGTTATTAATTCTAGAAGACTCTTGGTGGTAACTGGCAACAACTTTTAATCCATACAACTAACTTGCTCCCTCTACATATGGGCTAGCTGATAATAAAGCCTGAGTCATCTGTATTTTGGTTCCAGTGAGATGTTCAGACCATGTATGTCCCATAATCTGTGCTGCAAGTTTTACCTCATTTTCATATTATAGCCATTAAAATATCTAAAAGTCTTTATCTGTACTCCAAGCCATTCTAAGGCCAGCCATTCCACGTCCAGTCTGCCTTGAACTTCCTAAAAATGTTCATCATGTAATGTACTCACTGTGGTGTCTAGATTCCCCCCCAAGAAAAAATCTCACACAGTGATGGGGTGGGCTTCTAGAGTTTATGATTGACTCATGGTCTAATGCTAGTATTCTGGATGGGAGTGATACACCCACCCTAGGGTAGGTAACTTGCATATAGTATAAGGGAAGGAAAGAAGCTTGCTCTTGCAGTTCCCTTTTTGCTTTTGATGTTTTTCTGTCTTTTGCCCCTGTACCATGCCACCCTGCCTTGGAGTCAGGTGATTATGGACTGAAACCTCCAAAAACTTTGAGCTAAATAAACCTTTTCTTCCCTAATTTTGGGTGTTCGGTATTTTGTTGTTTCAGCAATGAGAGAAAAGTAACCAAGACAAAACCTTATATATTTTTTATTCATATGTCGTGTCATAAATCTTAGAATATGATCTAACTTTTGAGTGGAATACACTTTACCTCTGTGGCGTATCTGCATATAGATTACATGGAGTTATGAAAATAACACACAATTGGTTATGGTTATATTTGCACAACTTCGAATAATTAATGTGAAAGTTTACTTTGAGAAGGTGCAGAACACCATGTTCCAGAATGGCAGTGGCATAGAGACTTTGTTCCTTAGAATCAGATTCTGTCCTCAAATCCAAATCGAATGAAAATCAAGTAAAATTTTCCCATAAGGTCAACATTGAACCTAACCATTGAATGTAATTCCATGAACCAATGTACCACTGTACAATGGTAGCAAGTTGATATTACTGCAACCTACTTATCTATAGTCTTAATGTTGGTATCCTCACAAATATCCATATGTTGAAATTTAACCACCAACGTAATGATATCAGGAGCTAAGTCCTTCGGAACCTGATTAGGTCATGGGTAAGATTAGTGTCCTTATAAATTCCCCAGAAAGCTGCCCTGCTTCTTTCATTTGAAGACACAGTCTTGTGTCATATATGGTGCTGACTAGGCAGCACATTTGATGATACCTTGATCTTTGACTTTCTGTCCTTGAAAGATATGAGAAATAAGTTTTTGTCCTTTGTAAGGTACCTAGTATTTTCCTATAGCTTCCCAGATGGATTAAAACTCTACATTGTAATGTTTCATTACTCTTCTCACCAAGTACACAATTATCCTTTTAAATCCTCTACGTCTTTGAGTTGCTTCAGAAACCTGTGATACGCTGTTCCTTCTCCTTTTTTGTTGTCCACGTGTGTTTCTAATTCTCTTTACCAATTTTATAGCTACCATTTGGGCTCAGGCCTCATTCTGGTTATTTCATGTCCTCTGATTTCTATGTTTTAGTGTTGGCCATCTTTTACTTAAGCAATAATCCATCTTCCCCACTGTGTCTGAAGTAATTCTCTTCAACCTTGACTTGGCAAATTTGGAAGTTTTCTTTTCCTTTTTAAACAGAATTCAAATCCTTTAGCACAGTTTACAAATCCTTTTATCTTTTTGTCCTACATGCATTTCCATTTTCTTTTGGCACAACCTCACACATCACTTTTGCTTCCACATACCTACATACAAATGTTCTCACCTCCAAAGTCCTTAAGCTGGGAAATACATATAGAAGTATTTGTTCATACTTTGTTCTGGAGCAAAAACATGTCTATAAGTGGGCTGATTTCTACAGATTCTTCAAGACTTGTCTTAAGCTTTATATCCTGAGAAGTATTTCCTGCATAGCACAGGTTGAATGAGGTGTTATTTCTTCATACTTTAGCAATAAAGTTGATTACAGTGCAATCACTGTAATATATGATTTAATTATCTTTCTCCATATTTGCCCTTCTTGAGGACAGGCATCAAGTTTTTCATTTCAGGTGGTCACAATTTTGAGGGTGATGGGTCTGAAGATACACAATGCAGGTAGATAACCACAATGGATAGGTCATTGAAAGTATGCTGAAAAGAGGCAGAAGCATATAGTCTGGAGAAAAATAGACACAGAGATGGACTTAAAGTTCTAATACATTGCTGATATGAATGGAAAAATGCATGGGCACTTTGAAAAACATTCTATTAGTTCTACACAAAATTTAACAGAAGCACCATGTGATCCAGCATTCTTACTATTAGGTAACAGATATATCCAAGAACAAGGAAAACATGTTGACAAAAACCTTGTACAAAAATGTCCACAGAAGCATTTTTCACTAAATCCTAAAAGAGGACACAACCTAGGTGATAAAATTTAAAAAGATGATGCTAAGTGAAAGAAGCTAATCACACACAACACATATAGAGGGTTGGCCCAATAGCTGAGCAGGTTAAAGTGCCTGCTTAGACAGATGCAGGGACTAGGTACAATCCCTGGTGTGCTGTGCTAGCCCTGCCCCTGGGGGCATGCTGAGATGGCCATTGAGACTAGGCATGGTGGTGTGCACTGTAATCCCAACACTTGGGAGGCTGAGAACAGGAGGATCACTGTTTTCAGTGATCTGTGTAGTGAATACATAAAAAATGTACTAAATACATAAAAAACCTCACATACTTACTGCATGACCTCATATTTCTTAGTTACTATCCTGTCAATGTACCATAAAACACAATACTTGCAACTTAAAGGAGGAGTGGTTTATTTTGGCACATAGTTTTAGTTCTTGGATTTTTGGCTACAAGGAAGGAACCAGATGGTAGAGGGCATGGTGCTCTGAAAGTAGAAATGGAGAGAGAGGGAGGTGGGGGCAAGAATAAATCCTTCCAGGTCAAACCTTTGGTGACTCACCTCCAACCAGACACTTTCTCCTAACAGCCAGCACTTTAAATTATGAACTCATCAATGGCTCTACCTACTCATGAGTGTAGTATTCCTAAGAACCTATCACCTTCCACACATGAAAATCTGGGGGGGGCACTTTAAACTATAACACATATACATGAAACATTCAGAATAGGCAAATGTATATACAGATAAATTGAACAGTGGCTGCCTAGGGCTGGGGCAACCTAGGAAGACAGAGGGATGACTGCTAAAGAGTAGAAGTTTTTCTCCTTGGAGTAATGCAAGTATCTTACAATTGGCTATGGTTATGATTGCACAACTCTGAATATATTAAAAGCCAGTGAATTATACAGTTAAGTAAAAAACATAGATTACTCTGGGGGATTTTACAGAAGTAGTGGGATTTGGATGCAATAATAGAAAAGCTATATGAAAAAGAGTTGGCATGATGTAATGAATAAACATTAAATCTTTCTGTTTGGCAGGTCTTGCTTGAGATCCTGCTGTCACTTGTTACCCTCCATGGGTATTTTCATCTGAAAAGTTAGTATGCCAATATATCTACATTCTAGGTTTGTTGTGACAATTTATGTAACAGATTTAAAATAATTCAATGCTAGGTACACAGCAAGTATCAAGAAGTGTTAGTAGGGCCAGCCAAATAGCTCAGCGGATTAAAGCATCCACAAACAGGTGCAGGGGCCTGGGGTTTGATCCCGTGCTTGCCATGGCGGCCCTGCCCCTGGGGCACACTGAGGTGGCAATTGAGACTGGGCGTGGTGGTGTGCACCTGTAATCCCAGCTCTTGGGCGGCTGTAAACAGGCGGCTCACTACAAGTAGGATCTGCAGTGATACCCTAAACACCCTGTAGACCATTCCCTACAATACACACAAAAAACATATTTGTTATAAGTTTGTTTGCATTATGTCTGTTAAACACTGAAGCTTGAATTAGTTGGGACAATAGTGGGAGAATCTTCTTTATTTTTTTTTGGCAGAACTGGGGATTGAACTCAGGCCCTTGCGCTTGCCAGGGAAGCGCTTATTCCACTGAGCCATCTCCCCTGCCCGGGAGACTCTTTAAGATAGGTTACTGGTTGCCTATTTTTTTATCTAAAGTTAACTGACAAAGTAGATACAAAAAGCTTATGTTCTTCCTTTCAAATACTGTAAAAATCTGTTCACAGGTCATTCTTTTGAAGGTTTTCAAAAAAGGTGTGGCTTGGAGCTAGAAACTGTCTCTGCGAAAAGATAACAGCATTATAAACAGAACAGCAGTGATGTGCAACTGAGAGTTCTCAGGTGCAAGCAGTGGTCTGAGCAGCTCTCAGCTTCAGGCCTTGCTCACACTTGAGGAGATGTGAGGAGGAGATGTGAGGGTGTTCGCGTCTGGTTGGCCACTGTTTCTCAAAGCACTTTGTATGGGTCCGGAATCCTGCTCTTTCCATCTTCACCTAAGTCTGCTCAGAGGGGAGTCAACCAGGCAATCTCCTTAGGAGTGACCCTCTGAGGCAAGGGATGACTGATTTTTTGCACTGGTTAGGCACAGAGACGGTATGTCATTTGTGAGCAATGACATACCTCCCAGGAGGTGGGTCCCCCAAAGGGTAAGGCAGTGGGGGTCCAGCTTGCCTCCTGGAGGGGGCCCAGGAAAGACCGCCAAGGGCTCGCTACCGGCCTCAGACAGGCACGTGACGGACGCGTGCGTCTTCAGAGGCTGCGCAGCAGGGGCGGGGCTTGCGGGAACCACATCCGGGGTCAGAGGTATGGCAGCCTAGTGGTGCGTGGCTCCCTGTTCGGTTCTGGAGGCTGTGGCCTGCGCTGAGGGCGTGCAGGTTGCGGGCGGCGCGGCAGGAGCAGGTAAACGCCTCCGCCTCCCGGGCCTCGGGAGCCCACAGCGCGGGGCGGACGTGACTGCCGGAACGGGACGGGGCGTGGGAAGTCGCGTGCATACTCACGTGGTTCTCGTGTTACCAGGCGCACGTGCGGCCCCCTGCGCCGAGCCCAGGACAGCAGTACGCAGCCACCTGCGCCCCCGGGGGCGGGGCTGGTGACGCTGCCAGGTGTCCCAGGACGGGTGCAACTTTGTCCCCGCGCACCCGCAAAGACCCTGTCCGCGCGGTCCCTGAGGAGACGCGCTGGGTGCCGCGGGTACCTCGGCTGCGGTGACTCAGCGGCCCTTGTGCCCGCTGTGCCAGCGCTGCTCGCTTGCGTGCCGCGCCGTGCTTCTTTGCAGACGTTTTTCTAGGCGGGCGCGTCTGATAGCTCTTTGGATGCAGCCCTCTTGCGTGACGCAGTGGTTAGGAGGGGCGGCTGTTCCGTCTTGTCATTGGGTGGGCTAACATTTCACTTCACGATTTAAGGCAGAGCACCTCAGACTATTTTTTGGTGGAGTGAGAGAGCCTGACAAATTCGCCACTAGAGAGCTCTGCCCTTCCGGTCATCCCTATTACAGTTCCTGTCGCGTTAAGAGTACTGTACGTGTTAGGTAAACGGATGACGGTGGATGCCAAACCCTTGGCACTTGTGTGGTGCCTCTGCCCCATATATTGCGTGGTGGAGAACTACTCGTGTTACAAAGTTTGGTAACTTCCACGTTGGTTAGGAGCTGTGGACTGGGAAATCTCATTGTGCACTGGTATCTTAGCAACTGTATAAGCAGACGATAATAAACATAAAACGATTAAATTAAAGCTTACTCTTAATTTATTAAGTGAAAAATGTTGCTTCCTCTTGGAGTGATGGCCCAAAACTTTGAAGATTTTTATTTTAAACACCTTAATACTTGACAGACAAGAAACTGCTATAAAAGTCATCACAGGCACAAAATTTTTTGGTGGCCATGAAAAGAGAAAGATGGCTAAATAGCCTGTATGAAACTTAAATGGCTACACAGGAATTTGCCTTACAAGATATTTTATGTTTTTAGGGTGTTAGAAGATTTGTAAAATTTTTAGAATGTTGTGAATAAAGAAAGCAATTTGAAGGTTTAACATCCTCTTTTGGATAGCAAAAGTCAATGTTGATTGAAGTGGATATTTCTTTTTAGTAAAATGGAAGATAAATGGTCAGGTAAATTGTTTCCAAACTCTAGCGCTAACCCCTTTTGTTAGCCTGTTCCTTGTGGCTTTTGATTTTTATTGAAACACATCAGATGTTCTACTTTTCTACAATGAGAACTTTAAAAAAGGCAACTCTTCAGATTAACTCTTTATTAATGTATGTTTTATATATATGGATACCTTGTTTTTTAGCTATGTGCTCTTTTAAGGGTTTTTGGCTTTGGCCATGTTCCTCCATGCCTCACTCCCACACAGAGTGAAAGATTTAGCTCATTAACTTGGTGCTTTTAAAATTTGGGTACTGGAGTATAACTTATAACAGTAATTTTTTATATATCATTGTGTAAGCTGACAAATATGTGGTCATGTAATTAGTATCATGATCCAAATAACATTTGCATCATTCCAAAAAGTTCTCCCCTTTACCCATTGGTCTTGGGGTAAATCTAATCTATTCTTTGTTTATGGTGTTTCTATAGTGTTTCTGTTATGGGGATATAAAAGGAAACATAGTATATAGTCTTTTTTTTTTTTTCCTGGTTTCTTTCACTTGGTCCTTTTTTACTTCATGTTGATACATGTACCAATACTTTTTATTTTGAAATTGCTGTGTAGTATTTCATTGTGTGAATGTGTTACAGTATACTTAATCACCATTTGATGGGCATTTTGTTTTGTCATTTAGGAATTCCTATAAACATATGAAAGTCTGCAATTTGTGCAGTTCTTTGTACATTTGTGTATAGTTCTTCGTGTACATGCATATTTTCAATTTTTGGTTGTTGTTAAAACATCTAGAAGTGGGTTATTGGGTCACATGGCAAGTGTACATTTAGTTTAGTATGAAATTGCCAACTTGTTTTCCAGTGTAGCTGTTTAATTTTTTACTCCTACCAGTAATGCCTGTTGGTTCTAGTTGTTCCACATCTTGGTTCACACTTGTCATTTATTTTAATATTTAGATATTCTAATACATATTTAGTGATAACACTGATGCTTTGCTTTGTATTTTTCTGCTGACTAGTATGTTGAACATATTTCCCACTACTATTATTTGCCCAGTGTATCTTCTTTGAAGTTTCTGTTTATATCTTTTGGTCATTTTTTTACTGTAGTTTTCTGAAATTGCTGAATAATAAAGAGTTTTACAGTCAGGATAGAAATCTTTTTTTTTTGTGTGTGTGTGTGTGTGTCAGGAATTGAACTTAGGATGTTGTGCTTGCCAGGCAGGCACTATGCCACTGAGCTATATCCACAGCCCCAAATCTTTTATTATATAGATGTTTAAAAATAAGTCTTTGCTCTTGTTACCTTGGATGACTTTTGAATGCTGTTGGTATTTTGATTAGGATTGTATGAAATCTACATTTTAGTTTTGGAAGTATGGGCATTTGACGTTGTTGGTTTGGCCAGGAACCATGATCAGGGGATGTTTTTTCATTTTTCGATGTCTTTTTCAAGTTCCTTCAGTTTCAGAGCACTGCAGTTTTCATTGTAAAAGTCTTCCATTTCTATAGTTAGGTTAACTCCTAAATAATGTAATTTTTCTGAATGCTGTTGTGAATAGTGTTTTTCATTAGTGTTGTGGCTTCATCATACAGGACTGGTGTTGGTATTTGTGTGTTTATTTTGTATTCTGCTAAACTACTGAATTTGGTTATTCTACAGTCTTGATGGAGTTTTTTGTCTTCTATAAAAGCTAACATCATCTGCAAATAATGATAATTTAACTTCCTGTCTGTATCCACATTATTTCTTCTTCTTGGTGACTATCCTGGCTAATGTTTTGAGTACTATATTGAGCAGGAGTGGTGATAGTGGGCATCCTCATCTTGTTCCTGGTTTTAGAAGGAAATCTTTCAGTTTTTCCCCATTTGATATGATATTGTCTGTTGGTTTGTCCTTAAATAGCTTCTATCAGATTGATATAAGTTCCTTCTATTTTTATTTCTATTTTATTCAGGTTTTTTCATAAATGTTAGAAGTTTTTTTGTATCTGTTGAGATGATCATGTGATTTTTGTCCTTGCTTCAGATATCATAACCCCGATTTCAAATTACATAACAAAGCTACAGAAATAAAAACATATAATATGGGCACAAAAATAGACATGTAGATTAGTGGCACAGATAGAGGGTATAGAAATAACCCCAGGCATATTCAGCCACTTGATTGCTGTGGTCCACATGACTCTCAAAGTTCCTAAGAAGAATAATGGCAAAAGGATAGAGAAATAAACATAAAGCTGAGTTCAAGTGAGTCCTCTCTCTGAATGGGAAGAAAAGAACTGCTCAGTGAGTTGCTTAGCAACCCATTGCTTGGATTATCTTAGGGCTTGGTGTTCTCTCAACTAAAGCAGCTTGTTCATGTGGCTTGCCTAAGGTGCTCTTTGTTCTCCTACTGGCCTGGCCTTGCCCACATACATGTGATCAGTGATCAGTTTCTATCTTCAGCTACTTCCTATACCTGATTTTGACAAAGAGGGCAAAAACATATGCTGGAGAAAAGATACCCTGTTTAGTAAATGGTACTGGAAAAGTGCTTTCTATATGAGGAAGATTGAACCTAGGACTGTTTTCCATACTGTGTATTAAATTAAAATTAAAGTGATTCATAGATCTAAATGTTAAAGCAAACATAACATGTTGGAAGATAAAATAAGTCAAAGGTGTAGCCAAGGACTTTTTGGGCAGACCTATAATGCACAAGAAACATCAAGAATCAACCAATCTAATCATATCAAATTAAGATGTTTCTGTATAGGGAAGGAAGTAACATTGAAAAGACAACATACAGAATGGGGAAAATTTTTTTCCAGATATCCTTTGGACAGAGGACTAACATCCTGAATATGTAGAGAAAGAACTGAAAAAAATTAGACCTCCTGAAACAATAGATACAATCAGAAAATGGGTAAGTTAAATGAATTAATAACTACTCAGATGAAAGCCATAAGAAAATAGTCAACAAACACATTAAAAACTGTTCAATATTTCTTTTCTTTTCTTTCTTTCTTTCTTTTTTTTTTTCAGACCCAGGGATTGAACTCCTTGTGCTTGTCAGGGAAGCTCTTCTCTACTGAGCTGTCCCTCTGGCCCCTCTTCTATAGCTTTTCATGTTTTTCCTTTAATTGCCCAA